CCCGAGCTGTCGCACCAACGCCTGTCTCATATCCAGGCCACACTTCGCATCAAGCCCGGGCGCGTTGAGCCATTTATACGGCTCCAGCGGCTCCAGCTCCAGCAACTCCGAGTCCGCCTTGAACGACAAGGATGACGAGAGTGGGTCAAGGCTGAGAAGTCCATGAGCAGGCAGGAAAACGCAACGCAGGGAGTGTGGCATGCCTGGGCGACGCCAACCACCCACCCAGCCGACGAGGATGTGAGAAGGACGTCCGACATCTCCCACGAGACTATGCGCGCTGCCCAGCTGCATCTGCGACTCCAGGAGACTGTCTTCCTGCCTGGCCGCTCCGATGGGGGCCACGTCCTGCCCCGGGTTGGCCAGCAAGTGGATCTTAGAGCCCGCGCCGTTGTTTCAGAAGGTTACGAACGCTCCCATCAGTTTCGTGAAGGCGCGCGCGACGGTGACGTTGTGTTCCGCCACGCCCGGAGGCACCGTGGACTGCTGCGTGTGCACCGTGGGGTAGCTGAACACGAGCGACCTTCCTGAGAGGAGCGCGCGGTTGAAGGACTCAACCAGCGCAGAGTCCAGGACGACCTGGGAGCCAGAACTCGGACGTTCTGGATCTCGAAGTCGGTGCTCAGCGTGGCTCCCGCCGGGTGCGCCTTCTCGGACCAGGTTCAGCTGCGGCGGCAGCATCTTGCCGCAGCGCAGGATGCCCACCATGGTGGGGCGCAGCAGCACGTCCGCGTAGCCGCTCTGGTGCACCGCGCGGGGCGTCCGAGAGTTGTTTACCTCGTCGAAGCCCTCCACGGCCTTGTTCTGGTTGTACTCGCGGCCCTTCAGCAGGTCATGCACGGCCACGGTGCGGCCGTAGTAGTTAATGTCGTCGCAGCGCTGGCCGTTGGCGAAGATCTGGATCCTCTGGATGAAACAGGCGGGGTTCGGAGTGGCCGGCGCCAGCGGGTTGGTGGCGTCCGTGTTTCTGACTCTGAAGGCGATCTTGATCGACTCGGGGTCGATGAACGAGGTACCGCTGGTCAGCGGAATGCGGCAGACCCTCGAGGTGGCGGGGGAGAAGGAGCTCAGCAAGCTGGGGAAATACTGCACGTCGTGCCGTGCGGTCACGTAGTTGGTGTTGCTGGTTTTCAGCTTGTAGTCCAGGGTCTGCAGCAACTCATCCTGTGCTCCGGCTGTAACTACCTCCATGCTTCTTTATACACACGCGTTTTCACTCGTACGGCGAAGAAAGCTATTCTCCCCGCCTGTAACTTCAGGGTGTCTGTGGGAGAATAGATTTTTTACGCCGCCTCGATGTCTCGAGCCAGCTGGTAGCTCGGCGGGGGCAGACGGCTCTGGCGTGACTGTCCGGAGCTGCGAGAGCTTGCCCGGGAGTTCGGCTGGGACTGAGGCAGAGTCACAGGGTTCAGGTTCCAGGAGAAGGGGCGTGGCGTGTGGTTAGCCTGCGCCTGGACGCGGATTGCGAGGAGGCGCGGCTGCTTGTGGGGCTGCCTGAAGTGCTGCTGCCAGATCAACGACGTGCCAGAGGCCCAAGAGCTCTACCATGGCCGACTCCATCACGAGCCTGAGCTTGGGCAAGAACAGTTCCAAGCAATCCTGTTGTCAGCGCAGGATTGACGGGGGCAATCCTGTGCCCAACGCAGGATTGAGTGGAGCAATCCTGCGTTGGCAACAGGATTGATGGTAAGGCGAGTGAATGCACTCCGGCCGTGATATGCTGGCCCGCGCCAGGCCCGCACCAGGCCCGCGCCAGGCCCGCGCCAGGCCGCACCAGGCCCGCACCAGACCGCGGTCAGGCCCGCGGGTGGCCCATGGTTTTTTCGGGCCGAAAACCAACTCTGTCAGTGTTGCCGTCCGCGTAGCGTCGCTGGCAGCTGGGTTTTTCGGGCAAAATCGGAAGCTTGGAGCGAAGTCGGAATTCCGACCTTGGTGGGAGAGCGAAGTCGGAATTCCGACCTCGGTGGAAAGAATTCCGGCCTTGCTTTTAGACCGAAGCCGCGGAGCCGGCCTCGCTTTTAGACCAAAGCCGCGGAGCCGGCAAAGATTACGAAAGCTTGTGTCACGGGGTGACACGGACCGTGGGACATTTCTTTCCCTTTCTTTCCCTTTCTCTTTCTTTCTCTTTCTTTGCCTTTCTTTCCCTTTCTTTCCCTTTCTTTCTCTTTCTTTCCCTTTCTCTTTCTTTGCCTTTCTTTCCCTTTCTTTCCCTTTCTTTCTCTTTCTTTCCGTTTCTCTTTCTTTCCCTTTCTTTCCCTTTCCCTTTTTCTTTCCCTTTCCCTTTTTCTTTCCGTTTCTCTTTCTTTCCGTTTCTCATTCTTTCCCTTTCTCTCTCTTTCCACTGGCTGAAAAAGCGCCCGGCTCATCGTGTCGCAATGCAGTGACGAGGCACCCAGCAGAAGAACTCATCGTTTTTGTGACAAACTCATCGTTTCTGTGACACTCATCGTTTCTGTGGCAAAGCAGTGACGTGGCATCCAGCCGAACTCATCGCTGTGGCAAACTCTCATCGTTTCTGTGACAAACTGGGGCGGTTCGGTTTTTTTAAGTACTGGTTTGCCCAACGGGTGAAGGTTGAGGCATCTGAGACAGCTGAAACAGGGGTGAGACTAGCTGAGACAGCTGCTTTGCTCGGAAGACCGGCTGGCCCGGCGATGGCCCGGCGATGGCCCGGTGATGGCCCGGCGAGCTTTGTTTGGCCGAAAATCAGGCTCCAGAAGTTCCGGAACAAGTATCGTACTTGCGATACTTGCTCCGGATAGAAAAAGCACGCATCCGGCACGCGTGTGGCGCACAGCGGTGGCCTGGCGATGGCCCGGCGATGGCCCGGCGATGGCCCGGCGATGGCTTTTTGGGCAAAATAGGAAGCTTGGAGCGAAGTCGGTCGTTCGTCGGTCGTTCGGCCGTCGGTCGGCCGTCGGTCGGTCGGTCGGCCGTCGGTCGGTCGGTCGGTCGTCGATCGGTTCCCTTGTTTTTTTGCTCGCCTTGCAGAAGCAAAGGCAGCTATGGGGCAAATTGCCAAACCACAAATCGAGGGGTTGTTATGTTGCAGCCACAAGCCTGCGCGTAGCATTTTGGTTTCGAAACTTGTGCTTGTGTTTCATCATTTTCAGCAAGGAAGTCATTGACAGTTTGTCTTACCCCGTGAGACAAACTGGGGGAAAGTTCTGGGGAGTCTGCCCGGAGTGTGGAGGCTCTGCCCGGGGGAGTGTGCCGGAAAGTGTTTAGGGGAGTGCGCCCGGGGCCGAGCAATCTTCGGCTGGGACGCTAGCCTGCAGAGCCGCGCCGCCCGAGGTCGGAATTCCGGCGTGAAAAGCACAAGTGTTGCTTGTGCTGGATTCGTACGCAAGTATGTGTCAGAAACTAACACGTACTACGCTCCAAATCCAAGGCCAGCGTGCCTACAATCGCCGGACTCCGAATGCGCGCCGATTGCGTGTTTTTTTCAGTGCGGAACTTGTACGACGAGGACCGTACCTGTTCCGTAGCTTCCGCTGTATGGTTTTCAGCAAAAAAAACCACCCACGGACTGTGTCACCCCGTGACATATACGCCAGCTCGTTCACCGGCAGCCGGAAGCTCGATTCCAGGCTGCCTCGAGCGAGGAGGAGCTCAGGCTGCGTCGACTGTCTCCCTGGGACCTTCTCTCAAGCGATATATTCGCAAAATGGGCGAACATGATACTATAAGCCCCTCTTCCTTACTACTGCCGCCGCTGCTCCCACCTCGAGGACCGCGCAGGTGCCGCCAAACTCGGGGGCCTTCGCAATGGCGCTCCTGCTGCACGGCAGCCTGGCAGATTGCGAGTGTTGCGCATGAATGTTTTTGCGCCAATGTTGCGCTTGGGTGACACTGTAATTAAGCCAATCCGCAGGAGGCTGGTGATGTTCTGCACACTCTTGTGATCGTGATGTGGGTTTTGGTCCTCCGCGGACGACTGTGAGTTTTTATTCCTTTCAAGAAATGGCACGCCACCGGACTCTTCGTGCGGGAGGTGTGGTTAGCTATGTGTTACAGGTGTCATCCAGCATGTCGCAGTAGTGACTCCGGCATTTGGTTCAAATTTGGATCGCGGCCTCGGATGCGCGTCGCCGGGCCCCCACATCGATCACATTGTTGAGACTGTAAAACAATTTTTGCTGGCCCCCATCAAGCCTGCAAACCTTTGCTGTTGCCCAGGCGAGTGCAGCAACCAGCACTGGACAGGGCGTTGGTGGGGGTCAGCGCCTTGCTGTGCACTGCTGTGCGCCGCGGGGTTTGACTTGCATAGTTTCTCGGTTGAATAAGTTGTGTAAAACTCGTTGGAACGAGTCACTGAGCAGAACTTGGCTTCTGGAGGCGAAACGCATGCAACGCAGCAGCGGTCGTTGAATCATTTTTTTGCACTTCTTGTTCCATCATCCCCAGCACTCATAGCTACGCATGTGCGTTTTCCCAACTAGGTAGCTTGGGGGTGTTTTGTGAAGATTGAGCATTTCGCGTGTTGCGGACCTGTGCATGAGTCCATTCTACAATGCGTCACCATCAACACACCTCGTAGCCAACCCTATGCAAATTGATGCTGCTTGGATAACCGCAGGCTAGGGCAGGCATGATCATAGGGGCAGGCGTAAACAAGTGCTCTAACACGGTAGAGCAACGACTCTCTGTGCTATGCAGTTGCACTACTTGTCGAGCACATAGGATTGCAACGATTTTGCATTTCTATGGCAACAAAACTCAGTCTTTGAGTGCTCTGTTGTGCGAAGCTTGGTGTTCGATACAAGCGTCAATAACTTTGCATTCGCTGGGATCAGTTTTTCCCAGTCGTAGCTTCGATCAATTGGCACACACGCGAATACATATTTTCCATTCGTTTGTCATGGTTTGATATGTTTTTTGACTTGGCATTGTCGTTTGCCGAAATAATGCAGCTGTTTGTGCTCAAACATGTTGCACAGTGCAGAATGCATCATTTGTTTTCAAGCGTCAGGTTGTTCCACTTTCATGTTTTGTGCAAGGCCAACTGCGACTTTGTTTAGCTGCGGCAATGACTGCCAAATCAAATGGCACAAGCTGTCCTGGGCGCGTGCTGGTTTACTCGCACTCTTGGCTGCCGCAGCAGGTGGACGGAGTTGCTGTCCGGATGATGGCACACGTGAATGCAATGAGGAAGAGAGGAGTGAAGGTTCTTCTTGTTACTCCTGATTTTGTGATGGAAGGCGAGAACAAGGAAGTGCCTAAGTTTGACATCAGCGAAGGCATTGAGCATGTGACGCTACGGACGCAAAAAACTCCAGTGTATCGCAAAAATATGTGCATGTCTATGGCCTTTTCCAATCTGCGGGTGCTTGTCCAAGCAATCCAGCGCTTTCAGCCGGACTTAGTGCATGCGACACAAGAAGCATCCTTGCAAGTTGTTGTCACTGCGTGCATCTATTGCGCTGTCCCCTTGACTGTTTCACTGCACACGGATGTGGCACAAATAGCTGCTCGCGATGATGGATTCTCTTCTATTGGTGGCTCGATTGGACGCCTTCACTCATGGATTTCTGTCCGGATGGTGCACTGGGGCTACAGAAACTGGGCTTTGGGCGGTGCAAACTTTTTCCCCGTATCACAACAATCGCTTGTGATTTTGCGAAATGCTGGCGTGTCAGAGCAGAGAGTAGCTCCCATCATTTGGGGCCCTATGGTGGATCGGGATCAATTTCGAGTTGATCTTCCGGAGGACTCAATTGTGCAGGCTCGCAAAAAATTGACGTTTGGCATGCCAGAATCCTACCTCATGGTGTATGTTGGTCGTGTGACAGCAGAAAAAGACATTCAGTTCCTCCTGGACGGTCACAAGCGAGCTCCGAAGCATGTGGTCCTGGCTCTGATTGGACCTGGCTCCATGGCAGACGAGCTGAAGCAGTTCCACGGGGAAGAGCACCGCTTGTGTTTGTGGCTGCAATTGTTTGACTGATAGTATCCCTTTGCCTTTGCCACGTCATACCTGTCAGTTTCTTGCGTCGGACCAAGGTACTGCACTGGTGAACTTGCAAGTCGGGAGGAAGTTGCACTTTTTCTTCGCGCTGCTGATTTGCATGTGTCAGCAAGCCGAATGGAAACAGTCGGTTTCACAGTTCCTTTGGCTTGATTTAGATATTTGACAGTTCAGGGGTTGTCAGCCTTGATGAGTCGCCAGTGTGACACTGATTGCGCCTGGAATTGGCAGGCAATGGAATCCATAAGCTGCGGGACACCCATGCTTGCAGCAAATGCTCAAGGCTTTGCCATGTACCTCACACATGGAGTGAACGTTTCTTGTCTTGGAGTTGGGCAATACATTTCCATGTAATGGCCGTGGCGGGGCTTTGATCCTTTCACACTGAGGCTCGGCTTTTCACTCCTGGAAGTACTGAATCCTATGATCGCGAGCTGGCGGAGATGATGGCGACAAAGCTTGAAGGCAAGTGGTCGCGTGAATCACTGCGATCTACGATGGATTCTTGGTTGCCAGTTGAAGTCGTCCGCAAGCAAAAATGCAAGCATAGGCACCAGGACATGCTTTGTACAAGATCAAGCACTTCGCATCACTCTCAGGAAATGGCGTCTATCGATGCCTGCACCGATCGAGCATTTCAAGCGTATCTCACAAGTCCTGCCAAAGACTGGCGTTACATCAGATTGGTGGTATCCCTGCTTTTTGGATGAACAAGGCTTTTTGAGGTCGATACTCTTATCGATTGTAGTTGCGTGGCAAGAACTGCAACAAGCGTTTCCGTCCAAGGTTCTACTTCGTGCTGAACTGGTTCTGCTCCATTGCTTTTCAGTAGACAGTGCCACCGTAACACTGATGCACATGCCGCGCTTGAGATGCCGTGCACGAGTCGCTGTGACAAAGAATGTTGAGGCTGTAAAGCAGGAGTCCTGCTGGGCCATTTTGCTTGAGGAGTCGACGGATACGATGACTGCTGGGTGGATCACGCTGGTAGTCCTTCGCATACAGTAGTTCGGATCAGTTCATGTGCAAAGGTGTCAAATGGACATTGTTGCAAATCAGACGTTTTGCCATCTGCGCTCGAAATGCAGGAAGAGTGTGCTAGTCACCGCTCACTGCATTGATTTGCATGTGTTTGCTGATTCTTGAGAGGCAGCCATTGCATGAGCTGGACATGCCACATTGTTTGGTATTGGTTGTTTGCCTTGGAACAATCAGCATGTGTTGGGCTAATGTCAATTGCAGGTCACAAACAAAAAACACAAACAAACACACACACACACACACACACACACACACACACACACACACACACACACACACACACACACACACACACACACACACACACACACACACACACACACACACACACACACACACACACACACACACACACACACACACAGCACACACACAAGCACGCACGCACGCACGCACGCACGCACGCACGCACGCACGCACGCGCACGCACGCAC